ACTCCACAGAGCCTAGAGAGAGTCTGAGAATACCGAGGAAAGCTCAGGGTAATCTTGTGTAATCCAGTGCGACCTCACCTGGAGTAGGAGGGTGAGTGAGTCACTGTCTAAAATAACTTCTTGCTGAGATTTGTGTCTCTAAAGATTGGTCAGTGGACACCATCCATGAGGGAAGCTGAGCTGTGATAGGGCAATTTCTACAGGTAGAAAAACATACCCTAGGAGTATTTCTGGGAGCAGTTGGGTTACACCTGTTGCTTTGGAACCTAGGAAGGGGGCTATGAAGTCAGAACCAAAAAAAAAAAAAAAAAAAAAACCCAAACATTTGTAGAATCGAATTTATTCCTGTTGTATTTTAATAAGATAGAGATGAGAGGATGTGTGTCCATAGGCTTTGGGGGCTGTGTTTATAACCATCCTTTCTTGCTCTGGTATTTAATGATTACTTTTCCCAGGAGACTAGTTTTTCCTGCCTGTGTTACAGCAAACATCAAAGCCTTGCTTTTTGATTGGTTAATATCTTTTGGGAATTGGGGATGTGAGAGTATTACTAGGTCTTGGCATTGCCTAAGATGCAAGATATCTGGTGAGACTCCCTCATGGTCACTATTTGAACATAGTTGTTTCTCTGAGATGGTCTCAGAATCTTCAGTCCCACACTCCATATGCCACACCCAGCAAAGCTCCCTGAGTTACTCATGGTCTCCAACCACCAGGGCACTGACTTTTACTCTGTCTGCCTCCAGCTCCTCCTGAGGATTGCAGGAGCACGTCTTCAGAGGATGATGATGAGGTAAGAACCCTTTTCTTTGTCCTCTAAAGAATGCCCTGTCAGGGGTGGGGAACATGGAGGGAGAGCATCAGGATAAATAGCTAATGGATGTGAGGCTTAAACCTATGTGATGGGTTGATACACACAGTAAAACACCATAGCACATGTTTACCTATGTAATAAACGTGCACAGTCTCACACATGCATCCTGGAACTTAAAATTCAAAACAAAACCAAACAAAAAAAGAATTGTTTATTTCCTGTTTCTTTCCTTCTGTTAATCTTGATATAAAATCTGAGAAGGCACAGATTTTTATGTGTTTATGACATATGTATGACATGTCCAATTCTCTTTGTGGGAGTGGAATTCAGTGCAAGCGTATTCCCATTGGATACATGATATATTAGAATGTTTTTAAATGACATCATCCATTATCAGCTGTAATGCAGAGGAATTTTCCTCAACACCAGTTTTCCTCCTTGGTTTAGGCATTGTGCATTTGCCAATGTAAATCAACTTCATAGATAAACTCTATGGGAAAAGATCTTGCCTTTCCCACAGGTGTCCTCTATTCTAGTATTTTGATTCTTGGCCTTTGACTCAACCATTGTTTCACAACTAGTTTTCTGAGGTCATCAAGAGACTGACAGATCTGTGTGAGGGGCAGAAGAATTAATCTGATCCTCATAGTGTCTTCTTTTGTCTAATTGCAGAGTTCAGCACTCCCTGGCTATGGTATGTTCCTGAAGCAGCTCACTTGCTGAGAAACAAACTTGCTGGTTTTAATATATAGAAACCTGATTCTGGGTTCCGTTTAAAGAATATTGGGGGTCTTGTGAAAGAAAATATTTTGCAAGTGTATAATTTTGATCGGAGGGGCTGTATGAATGCATGTGAACCCAGAGGACCAGCCAGGGGGTGTTGTGTGAGCCGACGTGGCTTCAGCTGAGGTAGAAGTGAGGGCACCTCTCTTGGACTTACTCTGATGTTGGTGGTTCTAAAGAGTGGATTCTGGAAAATCTCAACAGAGAAGAAGATGCCTTTCCAGGTAGACAACAAGATTACAGGTGGGATCTAATAAAGCAGGGTTCCCAGGAGCCTTCAGGTTATGCCTGCTGTTTGGGAGGCTGAGGGAGCATGTAGAAAGAGAAGAAAAAGAAAACAGGGATGAAGTTTATTCTTGTCAGAGTTTAATGTCATAATGGTGAGAAATAGGAGTACCCTGTGTTTGTGATTACCTCTTCTTGCTTTATAATTTAAATATGGCCTTTCTGAGGACACCTCTTTCCTGCCTCTGCCACTGCAAAATGTTAAAGCCTTTGGTTTGGGGCACTCTTCTGTCATAGCAGTTGCTTAATCCTGGAGACAAAAATTCTTCCACAGTATGCCCAGATGCTTGGGAGAAACTGATTCTCACCTTCTGAACTGTTAGGTTTCATGGCAGCACATTCATTTGTCTGTCCTTGCTGTTTACTCCTGATATCAAGGGCTCTCTCTGGGCATGGGGAACAGGGTAAAAATTCCCTCTGGGTTCATTGCAAAAGCTCCAGTGTCTTGGAAATGGAGGAAGAAGCACAACCTTGAGCACACTGCTCAATTTATTTATTTAAATGCGAATATGCAGTTTTAACTTCATTTGTTAAAGAGGTCTTCCTTTTCCCATTGTGTAATCTTGGCACTTTTGTTGAAGATCAGTTGACTGTATATGCATGCATTTAATTTTGGGCTCTCTATTCCATATCTGTGATACTTATGGGTGCCCCATGCTAGGACCATGTCTGTCTTTTCCTCTTGTAGATTTCAATCTCACAAATGTGTATATTCCAAAGCTATTCTTTTTCAACATTATCATGGTTGAGACATATAAGAATTTATAAATATTTTTGGGTTGTCTTTTACATTTCTGCACATATGGCTATTACCAGTTTGGTAATAGTTGTTGTGAGCCTGCGAATCATTTTGTAGTATTGTGTATTAGTCAGGTTTACTCTTCCTATCTGTGAATATGGGATGCCATTTCACTTATCTGTACCTTCTCTACTTTCTTTCAGTCAGGTTCTGTTCTTACCAGGTTACAAGTGTTTCACCTCATTGGTTAGATTTATTTCTAAGTATCTAATAATTTTAGAGGTTATCATCCATGGGATTACATTTCTAATCTTCCTATTGGATTGTTTATATTGAATGAATATTAACACAACTGCCACTTGAGTGTTAACCTTGCACTCTGCAATTTTGATGAATTTATTAGCATCAATAGCAATCTTATAAACTATCTCAGATTTTCTATATGCAGAATGTTAAAGAAGTTCTCAGCTTCATACACCTCTTCTCAAGTATGTTGTTACTTCGAAGGTCTATTCATATTCACCTACTAAATGGTATCCTACCAAATGATGTAGTAAGGTTGTTCAAGAAATACTTTGCCTATTTATTCCATAATTTATAGTTTTAATTCTTTGTTCATGCTATTGTGTTTATTATTTCCCCATAGAGTAAAATACAGTTTCTGATTAGATTCTGCATACCTAACTGCCCTCTTCAGTGTTGACTGGAAGAATATAAGAACATCTATTGTGCTTCTGTTTTTTCCACCATCAGTTATCTTTCATACTCTAGACTTCAGAATCTGAAGCAAATCTGGAATGTGGAAATGTGAAGAAAAATGCACAAGAAAGAAACCTAATGTTGCTATTCCCATGGCTTCCCTCTTTTCATCAGCCTAAATGTATATTTAGTTCACAGTATTTGAGAGACCATTGCTTCTACTCATATCACAAGTTTTCCAAAACACATGCTGATAATATCTATGTCTAGGACAGTTTACCTACCAAAACATAGTTTTAAACTTACTTTTGTGGATTATTCAAAATGCCTATGTACAGAGTTATAAATAATATGCTTTCACCCATCCTATTATCCTCTTCAGAAGGAAGGAGTGCACAAATCAGGTCTGCTGTGACACCATCCAGAGCCGTTTTTCAAGGCTAAGCTACCGTCATCTCCATAACTTGGTTACTGCCTCAGTTTGAGCCACTTCTCATTTAAGAGAAAGAAATCATACAGGATATGATGTCATATGCTTAGGACCTTCCATTATGGTAGATAATTCTCCTTCCCAAGTAAATTGGTGCTCATTCTATTTCACCAGGTATCTGCTGATCTTTCATCAGATCACTGGCTCATTTTGTGGACAAGAGGCACTTATTTTTTTTTTTCAGAAGTAGCTACTGTGTGGAATCAGGATGTCATCAAAAGCATTTATGACACTTGTGTCTCATTCTTTTGGCACAAGGTTAGAGTTAAGTTCAAATGATTATTTTTGGACAAAGCAGGTGTGCATTATGGCATTATCCCATACTGGCGAGCTTATCTCTTGGGTTTGCCTGCAGCTCTGGAGTGTGTTAAGCTGTGAGATATTAGGCAAGTCAGTTCTTTTTAAATTTACCATCCCGAAGATCTAAAATACACAGTTTATTTCAATAAACCCATTCAATCCTCACCACAGACCTCACCTAAGCAGTGATTCTTTACTATCCACACACTCCTTGGATGGTGAAATCGAAGGGATAATGAATGTGCCCATGTTTCTAAGCCCCTAATGAAAGGAGGCAACATATGAACCTAGGGATATAACCATAAAGCTGCATCAATAATGAATTGTTGAACTGCAGTTGTTACCCTCAGAAGGATGGCTCTCAACCCTACCATCACAGGCAGCCACAGGTTGGTTCCCTCAAACGCACAAGTCCTGAATTTACATGAGTCTACAGAGATCCCAAACACTGTCTATGATTACAAGGTGGCTGCAGCAGTCACATAGCTTAAGGCAGACAACAGTGAATGTAACTGCAGGATATGTCACAGCCATTGGTGTGAAAAATAGAGAACTGCCCCAGATACCTCTGACAACAGGGTCAAATGCAAGTTTTGAATATCAGGAAGCAGTACTTAGAAATATTGATAAACTCCTTTCAGTGCTGGGAACATTCCTCAGCAGTTGGTCCCAAACAAATAAGATGAAAGAGATATTATTGAGACAGTTGAAATTATATTACCACAAGACCTAGAAATGATCAAATCCTGCAAGCTACATTCGTTAGATACAATGACAATTAAGACAGCAAAAGAGCTTTGGGTTACTAGCTTACCACACTCACTGCAACTCTTTGCACTGTAGAGTTAAAACACATCAGCATTCAGCCCATGTCCCTTCCTGAAATAAACTATGCTCAGTTGACTGGCAAGTACAGAGTACAAAGATAGGTATTCTCCATAGGCAATTACTACACATGCATGACAAAGAAAATGTGGACCGAAGAAGGAACTATCATGTGATTAAAAACTGGTTATTTTATGGGATATAATTTCAATATTTCCAATTCTTTCATTGACTATAACAAAAGATTAGTACATAACTACAATAGACTGTTTTACCTGCAATTGAATCCATCTGTCTGTTCAACTTAGCTTTTATTCAAGGATTCAAAATTCTTAAAAACAGAACTGTAATGACAACCATTTATGTGACAGCCATTTCCCTTTATGTGACTCCATAAATGGAAAAATATTTTTGGGACATAAATCATATAAACAAATATTGTTGTTATTTCTGTTTGACACAACAAATCCCTAATGTCCTTGCCTAAAAAATAAAACCTACCATGATTACACATTGCAAATGAAATGTTATTTAAAACTGGTCTCCATCAATTTAGAAGTTTAATTTGCCAAGGTTAAGGACACGCTGGTGACACAGCCCAGGAGGTCCTGAGTACATATGCCCAATGTGATTGGGCTACAGTTTGGTTTTTACATGTTTTAGGGAGACATAAGACATCAGTTAATACATGCAAGATGTAAATTTCTTCAGTTTGGAAAGACAGAACAACAGAAAGTGGGAGAAGGTGGGGGCTCCAAGTAATAAGGAGGATTTCAAGATTTTCTGATTATCACTTTGTTGAACCCAGGACCCCACTGTGGACATAGCTTGGGCTAAGGCATGAGGTAAGATCAAAGTGACGGTACTGGAATATCCAAAAACTGACTTCGCCTAACTTTGATATTTGACTTGTTAGAATTCTACCAAAGTTGTGCTCCACGGGACAAACATTTAAAGAGAAAACAAACTGTTACATTTCAGATGTACTGAATGTAATGAAATGTTAAGGGAATGGCCAGATGCAGTGGCTGACGCCTATAATCCCAGCACTTTGGGAGGCTGAGGCGGGTGGATCCCTTGGAAGTCAGGAGATTGAGACCAGCCTGACCAACATGGTGAAACCCCGTCTCTACTAAAAATATGAAAAGTAGCTAGGTGTGGTGGCATGCACCTGTAATCCCAGCTACTAGGGAGGCTGAGGCAGGAGAATCGCTTGAACCTGGGAGGCAGAGGTTGCAGTGAGCCAAGATAACACCACTGCACTCCAGTCTGGCAACAGAGCAACATTCTGTCTCAAAAAAAAAAAAAAAAAAAAGGAAAAGAAAAAAATGTGAAGAGAACTGCTTATAAATGAGGCAGCGCTCTGGAGGCCTCCTGAGGGACTGGATTCCAACACTGCATTTGTACCTTTCTGGAGCTGTGTAAATCCCCTAATGAAATTTAGTTTTTTGATTTGGAACTTTAATAAGTCAGTTTCTAAAAGGCTGGGTACAGTGGCTTACACATGTAACCCCAGCACTTTGGGAGGCCAAGAAGGGAGGATCACTTGAGGCCAGGAGTTTGAGACCAGCCTGGCTAACATGGTGAAACCCTGTCTCTGCAAAAAATACAAAAAATTGGCCAGGTGTGATGACACACACTTGTAATCCCAGCTACTTGGGAGGATGAGGCATGAAGAATTGCTTGAACCTGGGAAGCGGAGATTGCAATGAGCCGAGACCATGCCACTGCACTCCAACCTGTGTGACAGAGCAACATTCTGTCTCAAAAACTAGCAATAATAACAAAATGTTACTTTTAAAAACTGAAGTAACTGCAAAGAGCCTTTGTGCTCTCATGGTACAATGTTCAGAACAGCAGCAGGCCTGGGCCTGTGGGGCACTGAAGCTGCCCTCCAGTTCATTTCACCAACCCACCCCACAAATGCCCAGCTGCACCCAGCAGGTTTCTCTGCCCTCCCTGAGCTCTGCCCTGCTGCCAATTCTGCCCAACCAGGGGAGCCAACAGCTCAGGGTGGGGTGACAATGCAGGGCGGGGCACACCTACCTGCCCAGCATGAAGTGCACTGAGTCCTCATTGTGGGTGGTCACCATCACCTTGGCCTTGGCGTTGTGCTTCAGCTCCTCCAACATGTAGTCCAGAAACCTGTGGAGAGTGCCATGTGAGCCCAGTTCCAGGCCTGTGGTCGCCTGTACCTCTCATTACCAGCTGCACAGGGAGGAGGCCAAGTCCAGGTCCAGGACCATCCAGTGAGTTGGCTCTTTCCAAGGGTGCCCACAGAATCAGGAGGAATGGGAGCAGCATCTGCACCCCCCAGCATCTCATGAAAAAGAAAGACCAGCAACCAATAACAAGTGAACGATGTCTGGGGCAGACAATTTGCTCACAATTGGGGAGCAGCATCCCTGCATCTAATGTGCCGTGACTCAGGACCAGCCCAAACATGCCCATGAGCCTCATCACAGACACAGCTTTGCTTCTGGGGAGGAGTCCTACAGTGCACCCCTGGCCCTGCAAGGAAATGAAAGGGAAGCAGGTCCGTGGGCCACAGTGGGGGTGGGCATCCCAGGGCACCAGCACACCTGAGCAGTATGGCCCTCCTGCAGAGAGGACACTCAGCAGGCTTGACCATGTGTACATTCTCCCTGACCCAGCAATTCCATTTCCGGGAACCTAGGACAGCTGCATCCTCTGACACAGAACCCCTGACAGCCCGTGTGTACTGCAGAGGGTGACAGTATGTCCAGCGAGTCCCTATGACAACAACCAGACTGAAAACCAGTAAGATCAAAGATGCTGGACACATAGCCCTGGGCACCCCAGGCTGGCAGTTAACAGCACTGCGCTGCAAGCCCACACCAAGGGACCCAGATGGAATGTGAAATGAAAAACGCATTGGGCAGAGGACACACTGTACAATGCAAACAACAATGCTCCAGATGTGTGCACTGTGGCACAACATGCCAACCAAGAGACACTTGGGGTCTCTTTGCATTTGCAACATGCACACACACCTCTAAGGAAAAGCCCATGGTCAGTCGGCCGGTGCTACATGAAAAGTTCATGAAGAGAACTAGAGAGTAAAAGGAGGCGCAGAGCAGCTGATGGGCGATCCCACTGCGGGAACTGAAAAGCAAACAGGCTGAACCTGTGGGGTGGAGGAGGCAGGGCACTTGTGCACATCTCTGGGTCTAAGTGTCTGCAGGAGCCAGCTCAGGGAACGGTGGCCAATTTTGCTTTTTCAATAGGCTTTTTTTATGTTTATAAAAGAATAACCTTAATGTTTTTGAAAAAACAATACATAACACAAAAGCAGAGGAAATATCAGTTCTGACCTCTAGACACATGTGGATGCCACTCCAGCTGGGGGCTTCTGGCTCTAGCAGGGTGGGGCACTGTCAGCCCCAGCAGCCTCTCCAAGTCCCTCCCTCAGTCCCAGTTTCTTGACACCCTGCCCTGGGAAGACGGAGGTGTGGGAGAGCTGCAAACCTGAGGTACATGGCATTGGTGACCTTCTACATGGGGTTGAAGGGGTCCTCATAGCCAATATTTGCTGCACAGGCTCACTCCTGGGCCATGTGTGCGCCCTGCACCAGCTTGGCCCCAAAACACCAGCTCTCACGGTGAGCCAGCTCCACTTCCAGGGTCACATTGTCATAGGCATCCTGAGGGTCCAGAGCCAAAATCGCAGGGAGCCTGGGCAAGCAAAAGTGACAGCAGGATGGGGCCTTCCTGGGCCCATGTGCCCCCAGGTGCAGTCACCAGGGCTTGGCAGCAGCTGCCTGGGGTGATGGAGCTCAGGGCACCTGGAGCAGATGTGGTTGAGGATGGGCCTCCAACCTCTGTCCCCAAGGAGAAGTGGCAGTGGAGATGTCTGCAGCATCCTCTGTGGCCCGTGAACAGCCCTGTGGGGGCAGCCCAGGCACCAGTAACCATCATGTGCTCCAGACTCCTGGGCTGACTGTGGGAGGGGTGTGTACTGGGGGCTCCTGCCTGGACACCTCCCCAAGCCATCCTGTGTCCTCCGGGCACCCGGCTCACCCCTGAGAGCTCTGGACCTGCTAACATCCCTAAGAAGCTCGGGGTCCTCAGGCTGGGCTGGGGGTACTGCCTTGAAAACCCCTGGGCTCCCTGAATACATGCGACATCCTGGGTGAGTCATTTCAGCAAAGGCCCAAAGAGAGGTACTGAACTGAAAACGAGCTTGAGGAAATGGTCATGTGAAGCCTTCCAAGTTTGGGGTGTCAGGCACATCCAGTGGATCCTCATAAAGACTGCTGTCCTCCTCCTGCCCATTAAACACTCTTGGCTGGTTCTGAGAAGAGGAGGGGCTGCAGGCAACAGGCACCAGCAGTGGCCTTTCTTCCTCCTCCAACGCAGTCACCCCAGCCTCAACCTCCTCTGCAGGCCTGGCTGTGGCCACCACCCAAGGGCCTCTTTCCCAGACCCTGGAGTCTGCCCTGGTGAGCTGTGCTGCAGAAGACCCCAACAGCCCCTCGGGGGCATGGCTGAGCTGGGCCTCACGGAGGAGTGGAGGTGTTACCTGTGCATTAGGGACCATCAGGTGCTTGGAGAGCTTGGTCCTGCTGTCGATGAGGCTGCTCCAGTCCTGCAGGTCCACTATGCTGTGGGAGGAGGTGCATCAGCAAAGTGGGTGACCCCACCTGTGGGTGCTAGGGTCTGGTGGAGGATCCAGGCCCAAACCAGTCCATTCACCAACCACCACAAAACCCACCTTGGTGTGCATTTTTAAGACAGAGAAAATGTAAATATTGTTATCTGTTTAAAAATTTCAAACCAGTGGCATGCAGTGGCTCAAACTTGTAATCCCAGCACTTTGGGAGGCTATGATGGGCAGATCCCTTGAGCCCAGGAGTTTGAAAACAGCCTAGGCAACATGGTGAGACCTGGTCTTTATGAAAATACATTCATTTAAAAAATGTAAAACCAAAACAAACAGTCCTGCATCTAGGCAGCTATGAAAACTCTGAGTACCCTAGGGCTGTTTTGAGCTTGTGGAGAGGCCGAGCAGAGGCAGCCAGGCCGGAGGTGGACACTGCTCCAGGGAACCAGGGAGGA